TGGGACATCTGAGTGGTTAAACATTGGAACAGGCTGCCCAGGGAAGTGGTTGAGTCCCCATCCTTTGAAGTATTTAAAAGACGTGTAGATGAGGCGCTTAGGGACATGGTTTAGTGGGCATGGTGGTGTTGGGTTGATGGTTGGACTCGATGATCTTAGAGGTCTTTTCCAACCTTAATGATTCTATGATTCTATGACCTCAACCCACGAGTTTTCTCACTTTTACCCTTCCGATTCTCTCCCCCACCCCACTGGGGGGGGGAGTGAGCAAGCAGCTGCGTGGGGCTTAGTTGCCGGCTGTGGTTAAACCACGACAACAATATACATAATTTCTAAGGCAGTCGGAGAAAACTCATGTTGACTGCTTGGCATGCGCATCTCAAGTACTGATGCCGAATGTAGCTTTCGAAGGAGCTTGCCTTTAAAATAGGTAAATAGACCATAAATGATCTTTGGTAATTCTCAGAAATGGCTTAGGGCCACAGGTGAAAAGCAGGGTTCCCAAAGTGTAATGCCCAAACTATTATGCTATTTTCAAGCTTGTGTATAGAAAACAGACAGGACTGTGTTGCTTTTCTTCCCTTTCAGTTTTTGTTGGAAACTTATCAAACTGTGAAGTGCCAAGACACACTTTTCTGCTGATATTTGCTATTCAGAAGCTTATGTAAGTGTCATGAATTATTTTTTGTTCATCATTTTAAACAGTATTTTGAAGTCCTGAGCTCCCTCTTTTGAGAATTCTTTTCTTCAGATCCCCAACTTGTGTTCTAGTGTGAGTTCGCGTACATGTGACTGCTTGAGATCAGACACACTGTCTGTCCCCTTGAATGCTGCCTGAACATAGTTCAAAAGGGTGAAGTATGTATTTCAGTTTTTCTCAGTTGATTGTCAATCAGAGCTTCCCTTGTGCTTTAGAGTTGAGGGTTTTTTAAAAGTATTTCAGTTAGTTACAAGTTCTCTCTCACCCTCACTCTCATGAGTGGTTTGCTCTTCTGCCACCAATACACTTTCAACAACTGCTGCTAGTCCACTCTTCTTTTTGGTTAAAAAGTGTTTCTAAGAAAAGCAGGAGCAATAAAAATTTTTAACGGCTTCTCTGGGACTGCCTTACTAAATAAATTGAAGACCTTCAGTTTTGCTTTCTAGCTGTTCTGTCGTGCCTTGCCACACATGCAGGTTCTGCCTCTGGCATCTCTTCAGGAACGCTGTACTGAAAAGACCAGGTTTCCCTGAAGTCACCTCTCAGTCGGTGGATGTCTTCTGCAGTGGATATGGCTTCACTGGTGTGTATTAATAGAAGACAGACGTTGACAAACTGGCACGAGTTCAGTGGAGGCCCCCAGGCTGGTCAGGGGGCTGCAGTGCTTGCCCTGTGGGGAGAAGCTGAGGGAGCTGGGCTTGTTCAGCCTGTGGGTGTTGGGAGGACCCCCGGTTACCTACAAGGAGTCTGTTGAGGAGATGGAACCAGGCTCTTTGTTGTTGCATGTGATGGGAGGAGAAAAAACAACGGGCATAAGTTGAAACTCAGACCAGAATATATTTCTCCAATACCTTGGAGAAAGAGGCAGTGGAACAGGTTGAGAACAGTTGGAACAGGTTGCCTGGAGAGGCTGTGCAGGCTCTGTCCTAGGAGGTTTTTAAGACCTCACTACGTAAAGTCCTGAACAACCTGCTCTGCCCTCACCGCTGGCCTGCCTTTGAGCAGGATGTAGAACTTGGACCTCCTGAGGTCGTTCTATGCCTGAATTACCCTGTGATCCTCTTTCAGGCTAGAAACTTGACCAGCAACTGGCATGTAATTTCCAGCCCCTCTGGGCTCTTCCCTTGCCCTCCTCCCTGTCAAGGGAAGGGTTTTCTATGCAATAGAAAATTTGGTATGCTCTTACAAAATCACTTCCTCTTTTGAGGAGGGATGGCTGCTTAATTGCAGGGTAGGATGATCAGATGTGTGTTGTGTTTTTCAAAGCTGATTATTAGCAATAATCAAGGTTTAAATGTATGCAGCTGACTTGCTGAGAAAGTCACATATGGTAGCAATAGAGTACATCCACAGGTGATATGGAGCCAGCTGTGGAAGTATCTTAGTACCTGCAGTGAAAAGTCTGGACTTAGTATGCATTACTCTTTCTAGCTAATACAATGTTGCTAATTTTTATTTACTTTAATTCTATGGGTTGAAAGTACCTAACTTCCTGGCTGCTTAATTAAGGAATAAAATTTTAATCCCCAAAATATTCCAATTGACTGAAAAAAAAGCAACCTCTTTGTTGCTCTGAACCAGTTACTGTGCATCCTCTCTCTTTTTGCTGGCTAAACACAACAGTGTGTCCAGAGCACATGAGCCAAACTAGACCTAGACTAGAAGACTTGATTCCATATTAAATAATGATAAAATAGCAGTGGTCATTTGCTGTCAAACTTAAAATGATTAGATGTTTATTCCTACACTAGCTTTTGTTTCTTAAAACCAGTTTTGTGATTGTTTTTGTTTGCTTACCTAATCAGTCTCTTCAGACTACAAACTAAAAGATTTTTCTCTTGGCAAGAGTCTCCTTTGGCTGGTCGCTATCTGGAGATGAAGGGCAAGTGCTGGGCCAAGAACATTTCTTTTTCTAGTTTTGTTGCTTATTGTGTGACTTAGAGAAGTGGTTAGTGAGCTTGGGTTATGCCTGTATCTGATTCCCACCTGAAAACTTTTGAACTCATCAGCTGATTGAAACTCACTACGACAGAAAGGGATCACAACTGTTAATGAAAGTTAATGGAAACAGACAGCTGCTTGGAGGTAAGACATGCCTGTAACAGAAGAGTTCTGGTATTTACTCTGTCTTGGAAATGAGAAAATCCCCACGGCGTCTCCTTCAGGCACACGAACAAGATACTGGCTGCATTAGTTCCACTGCTTGTGAGACTGGTTTATGTCCCTTCTCGGATAGCCCTGATGCCTTACCGTTCCTTGTGCTTTGGTGGGGCTCCACTGAAGTCAACTTCAGTGCCTCTTCCCCAGGAAGTTTAATTCTCTCTCTCTGTAAAGAAGAACTGCATCTTCATTTTGTTAAGTAAGAAAGATGATAATTTTAAGTGAATCCTTAAAACCTTTGTTTTATAAAATACAGTGTCTTCTAAGGAAATTTCCTTCTGGAAAATTAGTTCTTGGCAAGTAAAGGACAGGCACCTTCTTAAGAAGTTGAATTAAGAAACCTCTACTCTAGCTATTGAACGTATGACTCTAGAAAAGAGAAAGATATCATATGGTTTTATTCTAACACTTTTGTTATAGCTCTATTAATAATAAAGTTTTGATGAAGTACATGAACCTTGCTAAAGCTGATCTAAGCATGGAATGTCTACAAAGTAGTCAGCTACAACCATTTACTACTCCTCTGAGCAGGGTTTAGAATTTTGATGTTTACATTGAATTTCCAAAGTACACAGAAAAAAAATGAAATAGGAAGAGCATTTACATCCATTTTAATTGGTGGCAGGCATAAATTCATAAAAACAAAAGGGGAAGAAAGACCATTTAGCAGAAACCTCAAAAAGTGCAGATACAGATTCGTTGAATGACAATCTTTCAAGAGATTCTCCTGCAGGCTTGGCCTTTCTTTTAGACATTACGGTCATTAAACACTGTCACACAAAAGTTCTCGAGATAAATGAAGATGAAAGCATACTGCAGAAACAAACTGGTTGTTCGATACATTTCAGTCCGTTTGTGAAGGAGATCTCCTCAGATAATTTACCTTTTCTTTTTACTGCTTTGCTTCGAGGTAGTCGGTCTCCACCTGTTACAGATTTGTTTGAATTGTTATTACCATAAATCTTTACATGGTGACCTATGCCACAAATTACATAATATATTAACTTTCGTGCACAAAAATAAAATCAGGGAATAATAATTAAACTTAAAGAACATAGAAAATCACAATACTATTAAAGGGGAACATCTGATTCTGATATAAATTTGTACTGCAAGAATTTCATGATGGTCAGATGTGAAACTTTATATTTAAAAAAAGAAAAAGTACATCAAAATGAATAATGCTAGTAGTAATATAAAGCCAAATCACACAAGATCATTTCAAGATCAATGTAATAAATGCTTAATATTCAGCAGAAAAAAAATCAGGAACAATGTACAAAATAATAGTGCAAGAACAGCTGCAATCTATTTGTTCTCATCAGTTTTGAGATTTTGGTTAAAAACTTTACAGCTGGCGAGAGATGCTGCTGAAAAACTCAGATTCCACTCAGTGGGCTGATTAAGGCACATCTTTATGGACTTCAAATGTTCATTTTCTGTGTTCATGTCTATTGAATTCTGCGGCTCCGAGACTTTCACTTGTAGCGTGCTGTGAGAAAAGAAGCAGGGGTGGGAGAGGGAAAAAAATGAGAAAAAGTTTAGTACACTTTCCTCTTCCCCTGCAAACAAGCAAACTGATAAGAGGCAAGATGAGGTGGTGGCAGGTTGCATATGCAGGTTTTTTGTTGTTTTACTGCACTATGTTCCAGAAACACCGAGATCAGAACCTGACTGTGCTGTGCTCCCCATGTCGTAAAAATAGATTGGGCTTGTTTGTTTGTGTTGAAATAGCTGAGGTCCTGTTAATTCGCAGAGACTGTCCTAGGTCAGTCTCCTGCTAGCGCTATTGCTTTGCACAGGAAGAGGTGTGTTCTGCAGGCTGGCCTTTCTTAAATGGTGTCCAGCTGACTACTGTAAGAACATAGAGCAGGAACTGGGCAAGAATTTGAGGTTGGGTTTTTGGCTGACATCATTGTTAATTTAGTACAGCCACGAAAGGACTAATATATAGACAGTGTTTATTTTGTTTCAAATCTAGGAAAATAAGTAATACAAGAAGGGAAAGAAACCCAGCCCTTTGTGGGGATCACAAAGTAGACTAGGACATAAGTGCAGATTGAATCATACTCTCATTGTTGCCATACAGAATCGTAGAATAGAATCATAGAACGGTTTGGGTTGGAAGGGACCTCTAAAGGTCATCTAGTCCAAGCCCCCTGCAATGAGCAGGGACATCTTCAACTGGATCAGCTTGCTCAGAGCCCCGTCCAACCTCACCTTGAATGTTTCCAGGGATGGGCCATCTACCACCTCTCTGGGCAACCTGTTCCACTGCCTCACCACCCTCACAGTGAAGAATTTCTTCCTTAATATATAAAGCACTGTAATTGTGCACACTCAGAAGACAAGAAGGTAGAGTTTGGAAATCCTAATTTCAAACCTCTCATCCTTACTATTTTTTTTTTTTTTTTTTACTGCCTACCTCCTGCAGTGATCTGTGTCCTATGTGCAATTCATTGTTTCTCACCATCCTTTTCAAAGATTTCAAGAACTGTAAGAATGATACAAAGTTGGAAAGATTTCTAATTACTGAAATAAAAAAAAAAAAAGTTCTATGTATTGTAATTAAGGGTAGGAGGTAATGATCATGCTATAAACTACCTGCACACAGTTTCTTCTATCAAAGGGATGCTTAAGTAGCAAGCATATATCTTAATGGCTCTTACTTGCTGCATTTCAGGAAACCAGGTCCACCACAGGACTGAGGTGCAAATTATCAAGGATTGAATCTGCTGTAGTGCCCACATGGGTGAACAGTCTAGCTGAGGACATTCAGTAATTATAAGACTATAACCTAAAACATATTAGCTTGTGTTACTGAAATCCTATTGACTGACTTTTTGATTAAACTTTTTCCTACGTCATGGCAAGAGGGGAAGACAGCTTGTGTAACAGCTAAAGTGACAATTCATTGTTATTTTTCACAGACCATCTGAAACAATTTTCATTCTTTTACATTTTTATGCAAGCTGTCTAGAAGGCTGTGTGCTTTTCTGACATGGTAGTGAAACAGGCATTTCTAATTTACTAATCCTAGTTCCTAACCCTCCATAACTGGGGTACTGCTCCCATGTCCTGCATTTCCTTGTGTCCTTATTATTCTGCCTCTATCTTTTGGCTTGTTTTTGCCTTGTACCCTTTTCCTTCATTCTTTTCTGGTTTGCACACACTCCTGTTGCTCTGATCCTCTCCTTCCTGTAGGAAATAGAGAGTGCAGGTGTGGGTGACAGAGAAGACTTTAGTCAGCAAGGTTACTTTCTTGAATTTGCAACCTCTTCAGACTTGAACCTTTGCCCTCACTTGCTGTGAGGAAAGTCAAAGCCTTTTCTTATGACCATGGGATTAAGTGTACATATGAGATGGTGTTAGGGCTGACTTCTGAAGTCTTGCAGCTTTCCTCACCCCTACTGCTTATGTGCTTTCCAGGCATGGCCAGGTAGCAAAACTTAAACTCTTAGCAATGAACAGCAATAATGAACAACTAAATGAAGAGATAGGGCTGAAATGTTGTTTTGGTTTGGGGTTTGTTGTTTGGGGTTTTTTTTGTTGTTGTTATCTGAAAGGAACATAAATGCCCTAGGAATCAAGAAATTGCGAACTATGAAGTAGTATATACCTGCAAAGTGCTTTAAAGAACAGTATTGCTACTGTCTTTAAAGCAGTAGATATATGAACCTTGTTTAATGCTGGGCAAGTGCCAGACAGAAAAAGCTAAAGGTTCAGGCTTCTCAAATGATTTGGCATGTTACTTCTGAACATAAACTAGGAATTGTATTAAATCGTTACGGTGTGTTTTCCAAACAACACTGCTAGCAGAGCGTATACTAGGATTTGGTGTAATTGTGACCATAATTCCTTCCCATTTGCTTGGACTACAAATCAAAACGCGGAGTGCTATAATACTACCAAACAGCACTTTTTCTGAGTAGTCGACTATAATGGTTTCCCTCTCTGAGGGACTGTCCTTCTCTTTATCTTTTAGTTTGTATACAGGTTTCTGTACAAGGTGTAAAAGGCAGGACTGAATTTGCAAAACTAGAACTGAAGTATACGCTGGTAATTGTCATGCAGTAATTTACCTCTTACAGAAGAACTCTAGGAAACTCGAGAGTTTGGCATTTTAAGAGAATGCATAAAAACAGGAATAGAAAAATGTGAAATTAATGTTTTTTTCAGTTCCCCAGTATGAGTAACATCAACATAAAAAGCTCAAGTATTTTAGGAAATTTTACCTTGATAAAGTGGAAAATAATATGGTTAGAGATCTGCAGTAATATATTTGTTAACTAAGGAGAACCTAGTCTTTCATCTCACTTTTCATTCTTTTACCTGTAGTGATTTATTTTCTAGCTGTTGACGTAACAAGATACAAAAATGGTGTATTTAAATAGTATTTTTAAAGCAGAGAATGTAATTAAGGTGTAAAATTAAATAGAAGCAGTTGAATTTCTCCAGCCAGATCCATCAATAGATTCTACTCTACACTTTATTCCGCTCTGCTTACAAAAGGTGCACTGTGCATTAAGCATTCCTAGCAAAAGAGAGAGATGTGTCATACAGCAACCCTCCTGTCAGGAAGAACTGCAGGTTACAGCCTGGTGCTTCCAGAAGCCATGAAGCCTATTTCGGTAGAGCTTGGAATTAGGCTGTAGAGTATCTCTACTCTACATCCTCCTGGAGTTTTCTACTACCAATGCTTGCACCAGTAAGAGGATGGAGGTCCCTTTAACTTCTTAGACAACAGGCATTTACTGATCTTATATAATGGTCTCTAAAAAGGTTAGAATTTCCAATTCTGAAGTCATCTGTTTACTATTCCAGCAATTATAATCTGTTTTGTTTTTATTCACTTGGGATTGATGCAGTTAATCAGCTTCTGTGCATGTGATTTGTGGAAGTCAGCTACAGGTGCTTCTGTAACATGGAACATAAATTCCAGCCATGGCATATTCAATAGTTCTGCTTTCACTAGTGAACTTGAAGACAGGCCAACAGTACTAAAAGCCCAGTGAAAAAGAAGACAACAGCCTTTATTTTTTTTTAAATTCTTTGTATGCTAAACTAGTGATATTTCTTGAAAATTCAGATGCTTTTCTTCATCTTTAATTACACTACCCTCTACCGGCCCTTGTCCTCTAACTAGTCTTGAAGTGTTGGTAACATATTTCCTGCTTAATTTAAAAGATTTCATCCTTCAGAGTATACAATAACTGATCCTGATCATTCTTGTCTCTTCTTAGAAAGTAAAAATTAAAAGAAAAGTATACGGAAATGAGACTATACCTTTTTGATCTGAAACAATAGCAATTTTTAAAAAATGTATCTCAGGGAGCTAAGTTGTGTGTTTCTGCAGTCCTTTAGCATGTGCTATATCACTGCGCTATATCACTGCTCTGTATAAGGAGCGTGTTCAGTCTTACAAAGGTTTTTGACTCTGCTCTGTAAGTGGGCATATGTGAACTACTGGAGAGGCAGGAGGTGCTGGGTACCACACTAAGGATGTGGACACGCTGTTTTGTCAATGCAAGCTGAAGATGCCCTCACATGCTCTTGGCTTTCTTTGGATGCTGCTGCACGCAAAACCAATGGGTCTAGAAAACTGTCAGTGATGACCCCAGGATTTTTTTCCCATGTGTTGCAACTCTCAGTTCCCAAATCACCATTACTGAATCATCTCTGAATTTACTATCTTTCAACAGCGTTGGGAAAATGAGGCAATTGCCTATGTTATTCTAACAAATCATAGCAGCCAAATAATGCCGATGGACTCTGAAGTCCTATCTAGTCTCCCCTGGCTAAGCAGACAACCCTGTGTGTGGTTAAGTCTCCAGGCCTGCTAGGACCTAAAAGGATCATCTCCCTCCACAAAAATTTCCTCCTATCATTAAAGCAAAAGGAATTAAATAGAAAGGTCTTTGAATTCAACCTTCTACTAAAGCAAGCAACAAGGGGCCTTCCCATGCTCTTAAGAGCTGAAGAAAACCTTGCTCTTTTCCACACTTCCAGTTAAAACTGCTTGAATACAAGTATTTCTTTGTGAAATTTTGCGTTTCTTTCTTTAGTTTTACCCAAATCATTGTTATGATAACAGAAATACTGATTTTTAATAGGAGGACATGAGAGCAATACTGTGTAAGTTGATAGGCTGCCAAGCACAAAAAGAAAATAATATTCTTTGAGCTTCTTATTTTCTGTGCAGTTTGGACCTGTGTTCTTCAGGAAAAACAGGAATTTGACACCTGTTGTATGAAAATGACAAAGTTAAAAAAAAATCCACCTAGCTCAAGTCCATACATTTGCTGAGTTAATCTGTGTCTACGACATGTCAAGGCCATGCAGAAAAAGTAGGAATAGGGATAAATGTTTCTTATCTGTTAGGTGACTCCTCAGCATTTCCTATCAAAGAAAGTGATTACCATCAACTGTCGTGTGTTTGTGTGCTGTAAAATGACTATGAAAGTATCACTGTAGGGTTATGTTTCTCTAAAT